GCCTCCCGCCTGCCCGGGGCGCGCTGAATGACCGGCCGGGGAGCGTTTGCTCGGCAGCACCGTCCGCCTGTGCAGAAGAGATTGCTGGCTCCCGGGCCGCCGCGCCCCATGCCCTTGGAGCAGCGCTTTGGCCATGGAGGGCTGGCTCCGGCTCCTTGCACTTCTGGGCTGCTCCGCGGTAGCTGCAGGTTGGTCTTCTCGGTGTGTTTTCAGCCCTCCCCGCCCGCCTCCCCAACCCTCAGCCTCGGGGGAGGAATGAAGCCCGCAGCCGCGGGGGCACATAAGTGTCAAGATTATGAAATGGCTTAATAGTCCCTGTTTTCCTGCTGCCGCCGCCAGCAGATGGTTCCGGGCAGTAAATGCCCTTAACGATCATTAACCATCAACGTTTATCGTCCTCGCCAGCTTAGCATTTGCAGAGCGAACAAAGAATTGTACTTGCCATGTACAACCCCGCTGTGTAACGAGCAGGCACCCTGGGACTTTTCGGACCCCAATGTTCCTCATCAGCCTTGCCAGTAAAGAGTTTTTTTAACGCCACTGACTCTTTGACAAGTTCCTAAGAGAGTGTGAAGAGTCCAGTGGCAGGGGAGACGCCGGGAAGGGGCAGTTAATCCAGGAAGGGAAGATGCCAGGCTAGCACTGGGGAATGCCATTCAGTTGCTTTTTTAAAAACTCAGCCTTTTTCCCTAAGTAAAAGGGAACAGGAGCTTCCTTAGCAGGAAAGCGAGTAAAGTGCGTGGCTTATTTTAGCTCTAGATGGAACGGCCTGTAAAAGCAAAAGGTACCTCTTCCCCGATCAAGATCAGCCAGGGGTGCGGGAAAGTGACCGTTCGGACCTTAGGTTCCTTTGTTTTGCTTGGGTTTTACTGATTCCTTGGTAAGGGGTCCTCAGACGGTAAAATGTTCTAGATTTAAGTCACCTTTTTCTCCCTCCCTTTTCCACCTTCCTTTCCCGCTGGGTCCTGGACATACCACATGTGTATTTCCCGAGTCAGTTCTCCTTCTGCCAGCATTTCTTTTCAAGAATACCAATTAAATTCCATTTGGGGCAGACTGTTACGCTGCTTCCCATGCAGCACTGCAGATGCACACCTGCCGTCTGCATCCATCTCTCCAGTTTCAGCGGTAAGGGGAGTTTTCAAAGGCTAAAGATATAGGCTAGTTAAGCAACACCCAGGAGGGGATGTGGTGACTGCCCGGAATAGTTTGGAGAGAGAGAAAACTAGGAGGTAATGACAATGGAATTGGAGAATGGAATATTTAACTAGAACACTAAGAAAAACTTTCAGACGCTGAACGTTTAGGAACCCCCACATGCAAGACAGCTAAAATTAAACCAAAATTAAACCAAACAGTGCACTTTGTCTGCCCTGGTAGTGCATTCTGATAAGTGTTTTCCAGCTGTGATTTCTATGTGCTAACCCTTTATCACATCTGACTCCGAGGGAAAAGTCAGAGAGGTACATTCTTTGTCAAGTAACTGCTACTTCAAGTTTATGCACAAGCAAAGCAATCCAAAGATCTCAAATAAGATAAACATGCCTGGACTTTACTGACCCTTAGAGCTGACACCCCACTGTGCCTACGCTCATGTTGCTCGCAGCACCTTTACCTGCAGTAAAGATAAGATAGCTTTCATTCACTCCCTTTGGCTGACTTATTTGTTTAGAAGATCTTTGGTATCTGGTTAGCATAAGTACAGCTGTATACCACTGAGATTGTTCCTTACTGCCTGTTCTGAGTCTTACCAGCAAAGATCTACAAGATAATGTACTTCTAACAGTCTTGGTGTCAGTCACCCTTGGGGTGTGGGAGCCATTACTTCAATACTGGAGGGAAGTGGGAAAAGCAGAATTCACAATGTAGTAAAAAAAAGAACAGGACTATGTAGCACTTTAAAGACTAACAAGATGGTTTATTAGGTGATGAGCTTTCGTGGTGATAAGCCCACGAAAGCTCATCACCTAATAAACCATCTTGTTAGTCTTTAAAGTGCTACATAGTCCTGTTCTTTGTTTCAGCTACACCAGACTAACACGGCTACATTTCTATAACTAGTAAAAAAAAGGTTTTTAGTCATGCTTGTAATTATCTTTACAAGTACTGAGGGCAGAACTAGCATACAGATGAACCAAAGCCTTAAACCCCTTTCCCAGTCTTACCAAAGGTAAATAGCATAACACTTTGCACTTACAGGGACTTCAAAACACTTCATAATTAGGCTTTAATATTGTGTTATATAATCTGTTTATATAATGTTTCCTTGGAGTGTTTTCAAGCCCGAGGCTGATTTTCTTTTTGAACAACCCTCACTATCAGCTTGTTATAGAAAAATCATATAATCGATTGCAAGAGTGTAAGTGAAAAGTTACAAGGCAAGTGCATCAACTGAAGAAATGATTACAACAGGAAGAGTATGATATGTCGAGATTTTACAGGTACATGGTGTATCTTGTGTACTCTTGTCCATTAACTAAAGATTGCTCTTCAGTGGTATGTACAGTAGGTATGATATGAAATAGGAAATGGTTAAGCATAACCATTAAGGAGTATGGAGAAGCACCACTTTCTGGTAATGGAAGAGCTGACGTTAGTTTGTGGCTAACATTGTGAAAATCTTAATGCTCCAATCTGTCAGTTTTGCTGCATTCTTGTGAGAAACAGCACTACGCCAGAAAACTGTCACCTCACACAAATTGCAGCACTCTGCAAACATCATGCAATTTTTTTTTCATTTGAAAAAAAAATATTATTCAAAGATTTTGTTTTTCCTCGAGGTAAGTGGCATTGACTTGGGAACTCCAAGAGCCTGACCTGTCCCTATTGACTGCAGTGGAAACAGGAGCCACTCTCAAATGAAGAATGAGAACTGTGGTCCCAGGGAGTATAGGAGTAAGGCTTTGATGCTAGCAGGTGCTAACCACTTCTGAGTATCCTCAACATCCATAGACTTTAATGGAAGTTGTAGATTTAGACCTGTGCAGGACAGAGCCCCGAGGAAACAGGCCTACAAGAGGACTACAAAAAGTGTTTACATTAATCCATTTGTCAATTTATGCATAATGCATTTGCATCTGAACAGTTTCTGGAAGTTCCACTGACTTTAGCACAGCAGTTCCCAACCTTTTCCAGATGGGGACCCATTCTGATAGTTCAGGAAGACTTGGTGATCCAAAGCAATTCAAAAATGGGGGAAGAAAAGGGGGAAGAGCTACCTGGGGAAACACTTGGCCACACTTTTGAAATGTAAAGGCGACCCAAATTGGGTCCCGACCCATAGGTTGGGAAACACTGCTTTAGCAGGACAATGATTTTAGTCCCAGGTTCTTCTATGTACAGTAAAACTCCGATGGTCCGGCATCTGATGGTCCGGCACTCCTGATGGTCCGGCACCATCAGG